TATGTATCGGCTCTTAGGGGATTGCGTCACCTCAGGGGTGGATTTGAAGAGTGAGAACATTTCTCTGAGTGTGCTCTATGCCACTTAAGGTAAATGTATCATGTTAGAAGACAGAGTGGGGAAAATGCATCATGGAAATCATTGAAATAGAGGAGACTGGCACTGACCTCTCACTCCACCTAGTGGTCAGCTCATTAAACAGATGAGTTTTCAAAGTGGATTGAGATGATGTTGATGATGTGATAACAATGATGAAGGAGGATCCTCATTTCTGTAAAAGTGGTGGAAACTGGTTCTGACTGCCAACTGATAATTTCTTATTACACCGGTCAAGCTCAGAGCACCTAGGTAGCCAGCGAAGGTTATAAATATATCCTGTCATTTAGTATGGCATTAAAGTGCCTTTAATAAAAGCAAAACAGGCCTATTAGGTGAAATGAGGAAACCTGATAATTAGTTTTGTATCTACCGCACTAGTGGGGAAAAGAATAGAGACACATTCAATAGGCCAAAACAAAAAATTGTTTTTGGCCAATCACAGTGTAGTTCATATCTTAGTTTTCTTTAAGGTCTGATATTTATAAAGAGACCAAGCTGTCAGTATTTCCAGTTAACTTGTTAGATGTAAAAGAAATGGTTAAGCTGAGTGACTTGGACAAGACTTTTTTTCCCCCTTTGTCTTGTGGCACCACAGCTTTCCTCAAGCCTTTACTGATTTTTAATATGTAGGTCGTGTCTATGGCACGCATAATCGGCTGCTGTTCATTTTAGCTCATCATTGTAACCATAGGAGCTTCATTGCACCGTCTCCCGTCCCAGACTATGTAGAAGAAGCTGTTTAAAAGTCTCTTTAATATGTTGAGTCACCTGACTGCACTCAAGATGCCCTGTAAAGTGTGATGATTGACATGGTGCAGTGAATCTATCCATATTTATTTAACCACTCCAATAGAGATTTTGTAGTTCACCCAACATTAAAAATCAATTTACTTGCATTACATTCATCACATCTCAACATTATTTCAGCATTTATTTACATTATAGTGGTGGATTTGTATCCAGATTTCTGCTGCACAGGCAGTTAGAAGAAGAAAAGGACAGCTCTGTAGAAACCATCTCCGTTTAAAAGCACGTACACCCCTCTGGTCTCTCCTGCAACTCAATCCCAGTGGCATCTTTTCTGTGGTCGGCTGCTCACTCAGGCCTCAAACAACGCAAATTAACATAAAAACATCAGAATTGTGCACCATCACATATATTATGAAGTATATATTATTATATATTATTATGAAGCAAAGACTTTAGTTTCGATGCTGTTAAACTAAGGAGCTAATGATAAGTTATCAACAGCTCCGTGAGGAGCTGCATGAATGTCATGGATATAAATGTAATCAGACATGGGTTATTGCCATTTTGTCTGCACACATGTATACATCCTGCACCGCACTGCCATCCATCTGGTGGGGTTACACAAACACATTAAACGTGATTACCAGCTTTAGCATACTACGCTACATTTAACTCTCCTCTTTTCCTTTTCATGCAGAATGCACGCAACTTTCAGGATTTCGACTGCCAGGTAAGTGTAGCTCTCTGCTCCCACTGTTAATTTAGCATTATGATTCATTCTCAGCTCCACACTGCTGAACCCATGCATTCTTCGTACATCCGAGCACCGTTACTCAGTAATAACACGCACATTTATGGATGCCTAATGCAGGCGAAAGGCGTGTTTGGTCCAACTTGATCTCTGCATTTACTCTTGACACCGCTGACTGTGACAGAAAGGAAAAACCAGTAGTTATGTGCTCACCTGATTAAAATTCTGCTGCTTTTGCTAATGTGCATCTATTTCTTTGGAGGCAAGTGTAGTGATCATTTGCAAATGAGGACCTTTTTAAAAAAAATTTGAATAGTGCTTTGTGCTAATGACTGAGAAAGCACACTCACTTTATTCTTTGCATAAAGCAATACAGAAAAAGATTATGTTAAATTCATATCAGGTTGTGTTTTTTTTTGAAAAATAAACAACTGTAGCACCTGCCTCAGTATGATTTTTTTAGTGCCTGCCTTTTTTACTGTATTTTATTCATAGTCAAGCCCCTTTATGTGATAATGTAAGAATAATTGTCATTCCAGAAGAAGAGTTATTAACCATGAGGAAGCAGTTTTCCAGATCCCCCCCCTTTTTTATGTCTTAGAATGAGGAGCGAGCTTGCCAGCCTTCCACCTCTTGGGCAGTTTTCTTTTTCTTGCAACGATTCTCCTGCAGGAGGAGGAGTCACGACGCTGGGGAAAGCTCTGTGCTGTGTTTTAATGGCCATCATGACTGCAAAGGGTTAAACCTTTCATCCCTAGCTCACTTTCTGCAGTCACGCCTCCTTCCAGCATCCCGGCAGAGCTAAATATAGCCGACGCAGGCGGGGGAAGAGAGTAAGCATGTTAGCCGGAGCAGGCAAGCTGCATGCTCCTTAGCATCCTGTCAGAACTATTATAAAGACATTCATGTGCGTACAATCCTGCAGTCAGTCAGCTGACAGTCACTCAGTCAGTCACTTGTTTGTGATTCCCTTTGACGTCATGCTGTTGTCAGTTACAGAGAGAATTGAACCTGAATCTGTCCCACTGGTGGTTTGACCTCATTTGCCTTTCAGCCATTACGACCTCACATGGTCACACTCAGGAAGCTCAGGGAGTTCACAGTGTAGTGGTTTTACACATTCGCCTAACTAGTGAAAAATTCCCAGTTTGATCCTGAGGAGATTGTTTTGGGAACAGTAACTGGTGTAAAAACTCTTCCAAATCAATCAAACCGCTGTGGCGACCCCCTGTGAATAAGGGAGCGGCTGAAGATGGGAAATTACTAAAAAGGGTGCTGATGATGGTCAATTCTCTTAAAAGATTTATAGTGTTAACAAACTGTGCTGGTGTTCCTCCTGATTTGGTAATCTGGCCATTTGGCAATAGACGTGATGGAGTAAATATCTTGTAAATATTTAGTATAACACTGAACCCGTCACGCAGCGTAAAACACTAAGATAAAAGGAGAACACGCCCTATACAAGACATCAGACCTTAGACGTCTGTGTGGGAGGGGTCCTGCCTGCCGCAACATCACTCTGAGCTGTGACATTCCAGCAGCTGGAGGATGAATCCAGCTGCTCTCTTCCTGCTGCTAAAGCTCCCACCACAGGCAGTCCACAGGTACTGCAGGAGTCGTGCCAGAGCTGTGCATACCTGCAGAGGAGGACAGTGGTGGTGGGGTGGAGTCAGGGAACCTAAAGGTTCAAACTGCTGCAGCTTTGTTTCTCTTACAATTTTCTGCTTATGCCAGGAAAGGGAGAGGAAGGTGTGTGACAGACTCCTCAAACCCATGGGTCCCAGAACGCTGAGTGACTTCACTGAAATGGCTGACTGTGCATTTCAAAAATAGTTTTAGTGTCATGGTGTTGCTGCAGTCTCGCACTGCTATGTTTTTAAGTCAATTTTTTAAACTTTTGCTTAAGCTTTGTTTATTGTGTCTATATATGTATAGCGTTTTATATATTGTATGCAGTGTGTAGGTTTTTACATTTTCAGGGATGTGTTTACTTTTAAAATAGCAGTTTCTCTTTATAACCTTGCCTAACTTTATTATTATTTAGTCTGTGGCTTTTCAAATCCTCACTGTGTCATTATGCTCACTAGAGGGCGCCACGAGGCTGTTCCATAGCTCCAGACAAGTGACAATTTAACTGGGAAAAAAAGAACCTTAACTGTGTTGGTAACATGCTGAGCTGCCATGTGTTGCTAGAACAGCTTTCTCATCTAGTGTTGTGAAGATGACAGTGCAGAAAGCTTTCTGATACACTGGTGGAGATCTTGTGGCTGTGTAGACTATAACATATGATTAACACATTTGTCATAGTCATCAAACTGACCGTGTCACAGGTAAACAATGTTTTGAGCTGGCGCATTTTAATATACAAAAATTGGTTCAAATCAAACCCTACTTTCTGGAAATGATGCAATTGAACTAATCTCTGCAGATCATAGTGTCACTGTGCGTCTGTATGACTCCTCAGGCTGCAGGGAGCTGTGGTGAGGCACATGATGACTCAGTGCATGAAATGACTACATGTGTTTCGCTGGCACCCTCTGTGGGTTAAGAAAGGAAATAAATCAGAGAAACTGGTCTACAGCCAAACATGCTGCTATATGATTAACCAATAAAGAGACCCTGGTCCTTATAATCTCATAAACTCTGTGTGTCTACATGTTTGCCATTGCCTGCACTAAGCACCCCGTCAAAGGCGTGACACCCTGCACCGTTAGGAGTTGTACTGATGGTAGGAGAGTGAGAAGGAGAGAGCAATACACTACGTGGATCAAATGACTCAGCAGCAAGTTTAGAGGACATAAATCCTGATCATGTCCTGTTTTGATAGTAAGGGGAAAAGGTGGCTTGCTATCTTTTGCTCGTAAGCCTGGAACACGAGGAGAGTCATTAGCCAAAGCTCAGTGTTAGAGTCACTACTTGACAGTCATTTACATGATTAAGTGGTGCCTTGAATGAGCCAACATCAGCAGCAAAGCTATTGCTATCGTAAGCCCTCCTGCTCTGTTATACGCTAGTCCACTCTTGCTGTGAGCTGGATCTGATTATATCCACTCACACGGAGATATTTCAGGGTTCTAAAGCCATTCGGATGAAATGTGATGCAAAAATAAATGTGGATACGGTGCTTAGCGACGAGCAGCCATTTTGCTGATGCAGAAAACAGCCCAGGGCGAGCCGTCAAAGTCAGCCTCCTCTCCTCATCAATAAGACAGCGTGACGTCAGCAGCCTGCACATTTTCCTGGACTGCATTCTTTGTACCCCATCACCCCGCTTCCATTCCCCCCCCCTCCTTTCCTTTTCTCCTCCAAACCCCACCCTCTGCCTCTACCCACCTGACCCTCCGCAATCCAATTAGAAGAACCAGTGACTGGATGTATGGACGCACTGTGACTACCAAGCACAAACTGCAGTCTCACTCTCCTCCCCCTCTTGTCTTTTTCCTGCTCTCTTTCCCACCTCTTGTTTCCGTCGCTCCCTCTCTCTCGTTCTCTCTGCATCGTATCCATCCCCCACCGCCTCCTTCTGCTTTCATTCAGGTTACTTTTCCTTCTCCTCCTCACTCCATCTGCTGTGTCTTTCTCCTCCCTCTCTTCCTTCCTTGTCGCTACAGCTCTAGCTGCCTCACCCTACATCCCTCCCTTCCTACCAACGCTCCCTCCCTCCTCCTGCTCCTTTTTGAGGGCTTCAAAGCTGCCCAGCGCACACTCACACATAGCATTACACCACTCCTCTCCTGTGTGGGAAAACCATGTCAGCTATTCTGGACCTGGACCAGATTGCATGCGCTGGAAATGAAGTGGTGAGTGACAAACGTGTCTCGCCTGACTCGACACACCTGGCTCTGTCCGTGCTTCAAGGAGGTTCTGGTTCAGATTAGGGGTGTTGTGGTGCTGTTTCTCCAAAGACATGCCGACAGCAGCTGGCTAAACGAAGGGAATAGCTCTGGGGTCTGGCTTTGATGGGACTCGTGCTCTCTGGGCAGCTGCTGGTATGGGGTGACCATTTGTTCAGTGTGTGCGTGTGCGTATGTGCGCGCAACTACAGGTCACACAGCGTCCATATGTGCAGCCTGCACAGTCTAAAGCTGCTCAGGGTGCAGTTGTGCATTTTAATGTGATGATATGAAAGATGCTTGTGTTGTGCTCAAGTGTTTTAGGATGTGCAGCTGCTTCATCCTGTGGATGTGCGCCTGTCAATATCCATCAGCTGGTTACTGTGTGTGTAATGACCCTGTGGATCTCTCATGTTTGTTTCTACATGTCTTCATCATGTCTCGCCCGGCGATGAGTGAATTGCTGTAGATTTTTTGCAGGTGTGCATTGTGTTCTTTTTTTCTGTTATCACAGGGAGGTCACTCACCACCCACCCCACACACCGTGGCAAGAAACCACCAAAGCCACTGTAGCGGGTTGTTCCTTCCCCGCAGAGACCTTGAGTTTGTCGTTTCAGCCCACTGCTTTGATGGCACACACACTTACTGTGTGTGCTGCAGGTGGGGAGGGTCGTGTTAGTGTCAGAAATGGATGAGGTTGGCCTGTACCCGAGATGATCCCGGGCTCTGTCCACCTGCATGTGTGCACTTAAGTCATTTACAGACCGCTTGGTGTTTCCGCCCAGTAATGCTGCTCCCAGTGGTGATTGATGCCTCTCCTGGCAGGGTGGAGTAAACTGAGAGGAGGGATTGATAGGCAGTGGATTGCGGGAAGAAGATCAGCATGACAAAGTGCTCTGGTTTTTTTGTTTGTTTTTTGTTTGTTTTTTTCATCATGTCACTCTCTCACTATGTTTCTTTGAAAAATGAGTACTCACCCATTTGTGGCACCAGAAAAGTCCCTCTCCTCAAAGCATAAAACCTCTGCTCAGTATCCCCATTTCACCTCCAACCCAGCCCAAATGCCTTTATGTACTTTTCGTCAAAATGCTAGCTATCATAAATGTATTAAAGTGGGGAAAAGGTTGATGCCATTGCAGTGCTCTCCTTCTTTTTCCCTCTCTCTAGATGTCCAGCCTGTCTCTGTCACTCTTTGCTTTCATGCTCTATTGCCTCCCAGATTCCTCTGATTTCTCCCTCCGCCGGTTTACCTAACACATGTTAGGGTGCACGTATAGCACATAGACTCAACAGAATACCAGCATTTGAACAAAGTGCATTATATATTGTTTCTCAGAGCAAAGCACTGAGTGTCCTTGACTCTGTCCTTGTGTTAAAAACCTTAAAGATTCTGCAGCAACACAGCCTTAGTGAGAGTGTTTTTTCACCTTTAACAGGTTGTTCTGTCACCTCACCAGACCGAGGTTACAGAATCGTTTCATTAAAAGCCTTTCGATGAGGGCAGAGCTTCCTGTCAGCAGATAGGCTTTCTTTAGGGTTTGTGCCATCTGAGAAATACAGGTTATAATGAGAAGCTGTTTTGTAGCTCGCTATCTTGAGCATCACTTTGTGGTGTTTTTGAATGCAGTTTTCATGTCTTGTGCGACAGGCTAATCTCTATAGCAACTCCCACTCAAAAGCAAATATCTCACGCTGTTGCTGACATGGGGAGTATTTTTCCTCTTATTATAGATTGCAGATGTAAGTCAGTACAGTCTCTTGAGAATTAGCCTTTATCTCTGAAGAGACTGGGACACATGTCCGTCAGCTATATGCAGGCGGCCGAGATTACGCAGGGGAAAAACGGCAGTGTACAGTCAGTCACACTCCCCTCTTAGTCTGTCAGCCGTAACCTGTGTCTCTCTTCCACTCAGGCTCACTCTCTCTTTATTATTGATGACCAGTGGGCCTTCTGACGAGGCAAGCGGATGAGGCACCACCCGCTGTTCTGTGCAGCACAGACACCCTAGCGTGCATGCATGTGGCTAGAACGTGCACGGGG